AGAGGAGCAACTAGGACCAGAACCCAGTACCCATATGGTATGCCGTAGGTGGAGGATTAATCAAGTGAGCCACAGCGCCGGCCAGCAGAGGGGATCAGAAGCGGAGCAGCTGAGGCTCGAACTGGCGCCCTTATGGGATGCTGACGCTGCAAGCAGCAGCTTTATTCGCTACACCACAGTGCTGACCCCCAGAACTCAGTTTAAATGTCTCTTCCCTCACCTTCCCTCTCCAGCAGCAACTACTGTTTTTTTTTTTTAAAGATTTATTTTATTTATTTGAAAGACAGAGTTACAGAGAGAGGTAGAGAGAGAGAGAGAGAGGTCTTCCATCTGCTAGTTCACTCCCCAGATGGCTGCAATGGACAGAGCTGCGCTGATCCGAAGCCAGGAGTCAGGATCTTCCTTCAGGTCTCCCATGTGGGTGCAGGTGCCCAAGGACTTGGGCCGTCTTCTACTGCTACCCCAGGCCATAGCAGAGAGCTGGATCAGAAGAGGAGCAGCCAGGACTCGAACTGGCGCCCATATGGGACACTGGCACTTCAGGCCAGGGCTTTAACCCACTGCGCCACAGCACTGGCCCCAGCAACTACTGGGGATAATTGTTTTCTACCACAGGAAAGTTTTAGCTGTCTAGAACTTTATAAAAATAGAAGCATATGGTATCTCTTTTGTATCTGGCTTCTTACAGTTCTGGCCGTTGTGGCCAGCTAGGGAGTGAACCATCGGATGGAAGACTTCTTTCTCTCTGCCTCTCTTCTCTCTCAGTAACTCTAACTTTCAAATAAATAAATAAATCTTTTTTAAAAAAAAGATCTAATTTGCCCAGCTTGAGACTCAGAGAACTGAACCAGATCTTCATTGTGTAGAAAATGGAATTTTTCAGGGGCCAGCACTGTGGCATAGTGGGCAAAGTCACCGCCTGCAGTGCTGGCATCCCATATGGGTGTCAATTTGAGTCCTGGATGCTCCTCTTCCAATCCAGCTCTCTGCTATGGCCTGGGAAAACAGTAGAGGATGGCCCAAATACTTGGGCCCCTGCACCTGCGTGGGAGACCCAGAGGAAGCTCCTGGCTCCTGGCTTCAGATAGGCCCAGCTCTGGCCGTTGTTGCCACTTGGGGAGTGAACCAGTGAATGGAAGACATCTCTCTCTGTGTCTCTCTGCCTCTGCCTCTCTGTAACTCTGCCTTTCAAATAAGTAAATGAATCTTGGGAAAAAAAAAGAAAATGGAATTTCTCAGTATGTTCTCGTCGTGTTGGCTCAGCTGTGTCTTCCACCTCTTCGCCTCTCTGAGCCCCATTCTGGGTATTTCCTTGGATTTATCTTCAATTTATTAATTCTCCCTGTGTGTGTCTGATTTACTGTTTAACTTTCCTATTAGATATTGAGTTAAAAAATTTAGCATATTTTTACTTTTAGTTGAGATATAGTAGTTGTATATATTTGTGGGGTACAGTGTAACATTTCAAAAAATTCTGTATAAGATACTCTCTAAATTTTTTTAAATTGATTTTATTTATGTGAAAGATAGGGATGAGCGAGAGAGAGGGAGAGATCTCCCCTCTGCTGGTTCATTTCCCAAATGCCTGCAACTGCTGGACTAGGGCTCAGCTGAATCTGAGGCCGGGAACCTGACTCGGGTCTCCCATGTCTGTGGAACCCTCTCCTGCTGCCTCCCGGCGTGTGCATCGGTGGAAGCTGGAATTGGGAGTGGAGCTGGGTCTTGAACAGAGGCGTTCCAGTATGGGATGTGGTTGTCTCAACTGGGGTCCTGACAGGACAAAGGCCTGCTCCTTGTTTTATTTTGATTCATTTGTGAGCCTTCCTCTAGGTCTGTCTTCCCTATTTACTATGTAATTGAGAAATACACATAGCATTTTTATGATTGACTCTGCCTCGTTCCAACGGAGTTTACCGATTCTGAACCAATTTTAATTTACTTTCTTGGCCCGGGGTTCCTTTTTGTGAAGATAACTGAACCTGGGCCCTGTACCTGTTAAAAGTGCAGGCTTGGGAGTCTCATCTCATGAGGGACTCTGTTCATGCTCTCAGCCTGGGCCGCGGTGAGTGGGTGCTTTCAGGTCCCTGTCGGTGGATAAGGCAGTTTGCTCCCAGGTCCTAGGTCTGCCCTTGGCTGGTTAGCCTACACTTCTGACCCTGGGCTAGTGAGGTAGCCCCGTGCTGGAGCAGCTGTGGGCTCTGGGTTCTGCCCAACTTCATCTCTACCCATTGTGGGTTCCCTCTTCCAGTTCTGGCACCTGATGATTTCCCTTTCTTCTTTTCAAACCTGACTCTGTATTAATTTTTAAATGAAGTGGCATAGACAACATGTATGGCAGAATGACGGGGCGGGGGAGAGGAGAAGCGGGGAGAGAGAGCCAGAGAGTTAGAGAAAAGCAAGTTCCCTTCCCAAATGCTTACAGTCACCAGGGCCAGGCCAGGACAAAGCCAGGAACCAGGAACTCCATCCAGGTCTCCCATGTGGGTGGCAAGTCCCAAGCATCCTCTACTACTCCCAGGAGGCCTCAATAGGAAGCTGTTTTGGAAGTGGATGTTTTGGGACTTGATCCAGTACTCTGTTAGGGGTTGCAAGCATCCCTAGCTGTGACTTAACCCATTGCACCATAGTACCCACCCCACTTTTTAACAAACTTTGTTTTTTTTTTTTAAGATTGATGGATTTATTTGAAAGGCAGAGTTACAGAGAGGCAGAGGCAGAGAGAGAGAGAGAAGTCTTTCAATTGCTGGTTCACTCCCCAAATGGCCGCAACTACCAGAGCTGCATAGATCTGAAGCCAGGAGCCAGGAGCTTCTTCCTGTCTCCCACACAGGTGCAGGGACCCAAGGACTTGGGCCATCTTCTACTGCTTTCCCAGGCCACAGCAGAGAGCTGGATCGGAAGTGGAGCCTCCAGGACATGAACCAGCGTCCATATGGGATGTTGGCACTGCAGGTGGTGGCTTACTCGCTATGCCACAGCATGGACCCCAACAAATCTTTTTGTTATTTTTTCCAGCATTTACTTCGAGTGGGAAAGGAAAGGATTTTTGTGTCTTCTCAGCTGGTTTGAACAGAAGTCTGTCTGTATAAATTATTCAGTCTCAATAAGCCTCAGTTTTCTCTTCAGTGAAAGTCCTGGGGGAAGTACCTATAAAGCACTAGGCACAGTTTCTGGAATAAAGTAGATATTTTAAAATAGCATAGCTACTATCATTTTTCATTGTTACTGTAATAATCATTATCAGGAGGGTAGGGGGGTGCCCTATGTTCCTAAATTTGTATGTTTGAAATACATGAAACTTGTGTGACTTAAATAAAATTTTAAAAATAATTGTTATCATTCCACTTTTCCTCTAGTAGGCAAATATCTTTATGAGTACAGGCATGATTATAATCCAGGGTTATTGTATATATGAAATTATTTTTAAAACTTTGTGGAAACTTTGAAAAGTGATAAACAACAATACACATTCAATGGGCCACCCTCAGCTATAGAGAAGCGTAGGTGGGTGCAGCAGATTGTTCTATCTTTGGGTGCTTTGCATGTTAGGAGAGAGCCCACAGATGGGTATCCCAGCACCCAGAGTGTTTTTGTTTGGCTGGCACAATATTTTTGAAAACTGTGAGATTATTGTTAACATTGAAAAGTGAGACACTTTTTGAAGAATCCAGATCCCTGACTTCTCTTGGATAAGCCTGGTGTCCGGCCACCCCAGGCCTTCTTCCTGCATGGGAACATGAGCCCGGCACAGTCACGCTGCCCAGCGTTTCCTCCCTGTCACCCTATCAGTCAGCTTTTGGTTACTACGACAAAAGCCCCGAGACAACTAACTCTATAAAGGAACAGTATTTATGTAGCTCACAGTTTTGGAGGTTCAAGTCCAACATTGGCCCCCGTTGGTTTGGCATCTGGTGAAGGGGGTGGAACATGCAAAGGAATGGTCATGTGGTGAGTTAGGAAGAGAGAGGTTGGCCCCAAATCCAGGCTCTTGTAACAACCCTCTGGTGAGAATTCCCATCTGCATGCCCACACCCGGTGACCTAAGGACCTGCCCTAGGCCCCGCTTCCTAAAGGTTCCAGGAGTGCCCCGCTGGGGAGCAGGCCTTCAGCACGTGGGCTTGTGGTGGACGTTCAACATTCCAGATTCCCATCCAGGCCCCAGGAGCCACCGCGCGTTCCTTGTCACTCCTTCTCCACTGTGGGTTTCAGTTCAGAGGATTACTACTGTGAACACTCATCTCTCTCAAGAATGGGAAAGCAGAAGACACAGGGAGGAAGCCATGTTCTACGCACAACGGAAAAGGGACAAACCTTCGGCGCCTCTTGGCTGTCTCTCTCAGTTCCAGCTTCTTTTTCTTTCCTGGCCCCTTCCTCCCTTTTGTGCTGCCGTGTCAGTTTCTGTAGAGAACTACACGACATCTGGAGCAACAAGAAAGGTTTACCCAAGCCCGTCGCTGCACTCCCACACCTGCCAGAAAAGCAAAATAAATAAATAAATCTGCCAACTTGCTGATGACTAAGACTTTTTTTTTTTTAAATGAGAAGCAAAAGCTTTCATTTAACTGTTAGGAAATTAAAGGTTTAAAGTGTAAAGACCAGGGACCAGCATTGTGGTGTAGCAGGTTAAGACTCCACCTGCAATGGCAGCAGCCCATGTGGGCGCTGATTCGATACCTGGCTGCTCTACTTTCAGTCCAGCTCCCTGCTAATGTACCTGGGAAAGTGGTGGAAGATGGCTCAAATGCTTTGGCCCTTGCACCCATGTGGGAGACCCTGAGAAAGCTCCTGGCTCCTGGCTTTGGATCAGCACAGCTTTGGCCATTGTGGCTAACTGGGGAGTGAACCAGCAGATGGAAGACCTCTCTCTCTCTGCTTCTCCTTTTCTCTCTATGTAACTCTGACTTTCAAATAAATAAATAAATCTTAAAGAAAGACACCTGTGTCCCTAATTGGAGTAGTGGGTTTGGGTCCCAGCTAACTACATCTTCTTATGAATGCAGATCCTGGAAAGCCGTGGTGATGACTCCAGTAATTGGGTTCCTGCTGTCTATGAGAGAGACCTGGATTGAGTTCCTTGTTCCCAGCTTCAACCTACCCCAGCCCTAGACCTTGGAGGCATTTGGAAAGTAAGCCAGGGGAGGGAACTCTGTCTATCTCTCTTGAACAAAAAAATTAAAATAGATAAAATGAAAACTTTTTGAAGAAGATCCATTTACTAAAAAATCAGTTACTAATAAATTGGCATTTGGAAGTGAGGATCTAGATTATTCTGTTTTGATATGATTTTGCTTAATTTAAATTTATGGCTGGCACCGCGGCTCAATAGGCTAATCCTCCACCTGCGGCGCTGGCACACCAGGTTCTAGTCCCGGTCGGGGCACCGGATTCTGTCCTGGTTGCTCCTCACCCAGTCCAACTCTCTGCTGTGGCCCGGGAGTGCAGTGGAGGATGGCCCAAGTCCTTGGGCCCTGCACCCGCATGGGAGACCAGGAGAAGCACCTGGCTCCTGCCTTCGGATCAGCGCGGTGCGCCGGCTGCAGCGGCCACTGGGGGGGTGAACCAATGGAAGGAAGACCTTTCTCTCTCTCTCTCTCTCTCTCTCTCACTGTCCACTCTGCCTGTCAAAAAAAATTTAAATTTGTTTCATTTTTATTTGAAAGGTAGAGAAACAGAGAGACAGAGAGACAGACGGAGAGCTTTCATCATCTGCAGTTGCCTACGCTAGCCAGGGATGGAGCAAGCTAAACCCAGGAACCCACAGTTCAGTTCAGGTCTTCCACAGGGGTAGCAGGGACCAAGTTACTTAAGCCACCATTTGCTACCTCCTAGGTTGCCCATTAGCAGGAAGTTGGATTGAAAGCAGAGTACCCAAGACTTGAACCAGGCACTCTGCTATAGCAGGTGGAGCTGCCACCTGCAGTGCCAGCATCCCATATGGGTGCTGGTTCTAGTCCCGGCAGCTCCACTTCCAATCCAGCTCTCTGCTGTGGCCTGGGAAAGCAGTAGAGGATGGCCCAAGCCCTTGGGCCCCTGCACCCATGTGGGAGACCCAGAAGAAGCTCCTGGCTTTGGATCAGTGTGCACGCTCCGGCCATTGAGGTCAATTGGGGAGTGAACTGGCAGAAGGAAGACACCTCTCTCTCTCTCTCTCTCTCTCTCTCTCTCTCTCTCTGCCTCTCCTTTCTCTGTGTAACTCTGACTTTTAAATAAATAAATAAGTCTTTTTTTTTTAAAGAGTTCTGGGCAGCTATCAGATTGTGGAGGGCAGAGGGTAGGTATTTCTTGGGTGAGGATGGAGACAGAGATGGAGTACAGATATTAACAAATGAAATGATTAGCACATTGTTCACATAAGAGTTTAGAGCAGTTGTTTGGCTTATGGCACAGGAATTATAAGTGGGACACCTCTCGGGGAAATCTTGTTTATATTCTGCATAGAAATGTGAATACGTTTTGCGCTTTGTTTTGCAGAGTGTGGGATTAGTGATATGCTTTCATGAACAGCGGAGCTGAAGATGTCTAGGCAGAACTTAGTGGCTTTGACAGTCACCACCCTTCTGGGTGTGGCTGTGGGGGGATTTGTCCTGTGGAAAGGTATCCAGCACCGAAGGAGTAAGGCAAGCCCTGTGAGGCCGCCGACACCGCGGCGGCAGCAGCAGCAGCAAGAGGAGGAGGAGGAGGAGCAGCAGCAGCAGCCGCAGCCGCAGCCGCAGCAGCAAGTGCCCGGCCGTCCAGAGCCGCCCGCTCCGCCGGAGGACCAGCTGCACTCCAGCTCCCCCAGCGCCTCATGGGAGGAAAGAATCCTCCACGGAAAGGTGGTGATGGTGTCGCAGGAGGCAGAGTGGGACCAAATCGAGCCTTTGCTTAGGAGTGAGTTAGAAGATTTTCCAGTTCTTGGAATCGACTGTGAGTGGGTAAGTTAAAAAGCAAAAGAAAAAAAACGAAAAAAGAAATCTGTTGTGCGTTTCTGACTGGGGCCTTGGAAGGCCCAGTAGAGGATCAGGTGAAGGAGAATTCGCTTGTTCTCAGCTTGCTCACCGCGGATTTTGGCCGAGGGGAAGCTGCTGTACTCAGGTTAGGAGGTGCTTACCGTCGTGGGTTCTGGACTCCGATAGGCCATACGGGTTCCATTTTCCCCGCTTCAAAGTCTGTGAACATGGAAAACTACTTAGCTTTTCAGTTTATGGTGGGTATGTAATGGTACTTACTCCAATGGCTTCTCTTTCTTTTTTTTTTTTTTAAGATTTATTTTTTTATTTTAAAGATTTATTTGACAGAGTTACAGAGAGGTAGACAGAGAGAGAGAGGTGTTCCATCTGCTGGTTCACTCCCCAAATGGCTGCAATGGCTGGAGTTGAGCCAATCCTAAGCCAGGAGCCAGGAACTTCTTTTGGGTTTCCCATGTGGGTGCAGGGACCCAAGCACTTGGGCCATATCCCACAGCCTTCCAGGCTCAAAACAGAGCAGCCGAGACTCGAACCAGTGCACATATGGGTTGCTGGTGCTGCAGGCTGGGGCTTTCACATGCTGCGCCACAGCGCCAGCCCCATCCAATGGCTTTTCTTAGGATTCAAGTAGAGAATCCCCATAAAAGCTTCAGCACAGGTTTAACATATAGTAAGTGCTCATTAAATGTTAGCTACTGTTAATATTTTTAATAGCATTTTCATAGGAAAATAGAGAAGGTAGTTAAAGAGGTCTGTTTAAATGAGAATTATTGCTTAAATTAGGATTTAAAGAGAGAACAGTTAACATTGAAACACTGTCTACCCTAAAACATATACTATGCTGTTTTGCTTGTATTATTTCATTTAATTTTCATAATAATCCTAGGTAGGAAGAGACTATTGCTTTAGGAAATCAAGGTTCTAAAAGGTTTAGTTATTTTCCCAGGCTATGAACCCGCGTTTGAACCCAGGTCTTTCTAAACTATCCAGTTAGTTTTTCTAATAGCTGTTGCTGTGAGGAGTGATAGCCTAGTAAACCTACTCTTCCATTATTCTGATTCACAGAATGAACTTTAATCTCTTTGAAATATAATACTATTACAAAAATATAAGTAATTCTCAGTTATCTGCTCTTATTAATTCAGCATAGCACCTTGCCAAGGCTCTGAGCATGTGTCTCCTAGCTATCTAAATATAGCCAGGATCCAGGAAGCGTAATCCAGAACGGGTGCCACAAGGCCAATTCACAGGTTAGTAGAGAAGTCTCCAGATGCCGACACATGGTGACCAAGAAGACACCCCAGCTACTGAGGGTGTCTTTTCTATCAGCAATAGTAGTAGTTGCTTAAATGACCTTGGACCATCGAGAAAGGATTGGGTGCTGTAGCCCATTCTATATAAGAAGTTATTATAGGAATATGTATATATTTTAGAATTATTTATACGACATACTTTTAAAAAATATTTATTTCTTTGAAAGGCAGAGTTGCAGAGAGAGAGAAAGAGAGGTCTTCTATCTGCTGGTTCACTCCCCAGATGGCCGCAATGGCCAGAGCTCTGCTGGTCTGAACCCAGGAGCTAGGGGTTTCTCCTGGGTCTCCCGTGTGGGTGGCATGGGGCCCAGGGACTTGGGCATCCTCTGCTACTTTCCCAGGCACATTGGTAGGGAGCTAGATCAGGGGTGGAGCAGCCAGGACTCTACTGGTACCCATATGGGATGCCAGCATCACAGGAGGCAGCCTTGCATGCTGTGGCACAGCTGGCCCCGCTAAATTCATCTTGATCATTTCTCTAGAGGATTTAAAAAAAAAAAATCTGTATTTGTAATTTTCCTTTTTTGAAATGGCCTTGTCAGATTTTGATTAAAAAGTTATGCTAGCTTCAGATAAGAAGTTCAAAGTGTTCTCCATTTTTATGTTCTCTGGAAGAATTTGTGAAAGCATTGTCATTCCTTTTCCTTTAAATGTTTGGTTAGAATCTACAGGTGAAACCATCTGGAGTTTTCTTTTAAGGGAAGTTTTGAATTATGAATATGATTTCTTTAATAGTTATGGGACTGTTCATATTCTCTATTTCTTCATGTCTCAATTTTTTTTTCTTAATTTTTGAAAGACAAAGCAACAGAGAGAGGGGGGCAGATATAGACATAGACGTAGACATAGAGAGAGTTCTTCCGTCCTCCAGGTCAGGCCAAAGCCAGGAACCTGGAACTCCATCCAGGAGCTCCCACATGGGTGGCAGGGGCCCAACTCTTGGGCCATCTTCTGCTATCTTCCCAGATGCATTAGCAGGGGGCTGGATTGGAAGTAGAGCATTCAGGACCCAAACTGGCCCTTCAGTGTGGAGTATTGGTATCACAAGTGGTGGCTTAACCTGTTGCACCACAGTTAACCTTTTGTGCCACAATACCAGCCCCTGTGTTTCTATTTTGATAAATTATATTTTTTACCCAAACCTTCATCCAGATTTTAAAATTATTGACATAAATGTATTTATGATCTCCTGTGTCATTTTTTTTTCTTATTTGATAGGTGTATAGGGATGATTCCTGTTTCATTCCTGACTTGGCTTACTTGTGTTTTTCTCTTTCTTGATTATCCTACCGTGAGAGAGAGACAGAGATCATCCATCTGTTGCTTCACTCCCAATGCCCATAACAGCTAGGGTTGGGCTCGGTCGAAGCCAGAAGCCCAGAATTCAGTCCGGGGCTCCCACATGGGCGGCAGGAGAGTGCATTGGACGAATTTGGAATCTGCAGCAGAGCTGAGACTCAGACCCAGGCACTCTGATACGGGGTGTGAGTGTTCTCAGCAGCAGTCTAAACACTGCACCAGAAGCCGGTGCCGCAGCTCAATAGGTTAATCCTCCGCCTTATGGCGCCGGCACACTGGGTTCTAGTCCCGGTCGGGGCGCCAGATTCTATCCAGGTTGCCCCTCTTCCAGGCCAGCTCTCTGCTATGGCCCAGGAGTGCAGTGGAGGATGGCCCAAGTGCTTGGGCCCTGCACCCCATGGTAGACCAGGATAAGTACCTGGCTCCTGCCATCGGATCAGCGGGGTGCACAGGCTGCAGCACACCAGCCGCGGTGGCCATTGGAGGGTGAACCAATGGCAAAAGGAAGACCTTTCCCTCTGTCTCTCTCTCTCACTATCCACTCTGCCTGTCAAAAAATAAATAAATAAGTAAATAAATAAATAAAAACAACACTGTACCAAATGCCTGCCCAAGGGTTTTCTTTCCTTTCCTTTTCTTTTTTTTTTTTTTAAAGATATATTTATTTAAGGCCGGCGCCGTGGCTCACTAGGCTAATCCTCCGCCTTGCGGCGCAGGCACACCGGGTTCTAGTCCTGGTCGGGGTGCCGGATTCTGTCCCGGTTGCCCCTCTTCCAGGCCAGCTCTCTGCTGTGGCCAGGGAGTGCAGTGGAGGATGGCCCAAGTCCTTGGGCCCTGCACCCCATGGGAGACCAGGATAAGTACCTGGCTCCTGCCATCGGATCGGTGCGGTGCGCCGGCCGCAGTGCGCCAGCCACGGTGTCCATTGGAGGGTGAACCAATGGCAAAAGGAAGACCTTTCTCTCTGTCTCTCTCTCTCTCACTGTGTACTCTGCCTGTCAAAAAAAAAAAAAAAAAGATATATTTATTTATTTGAAAGGCAGAGTTACACAGAGAGGGAAGGAGAGGCAGAAAGAGAGAGGTCTTCCATCCGGTGGTTCACTCCACAATTGGAGGCAATGGCCAGAGCTGCGCCAATCCGAAGCCAGGAGCCTGGAGTTTCCTCCAGGTCCCCCACACTATGCAGGGGCCCAAGGACTCGGGCCATCTTCTGCTGCCTTCCCAGGCCATAGCAGAGAGCTGGATGGGAAGTGGAGCAGCCGGGACTTGAACCAGCACCCATATGGGATGCCGGCACTGCAGGCCCTACCTGCTATGCCACAGCGCTGGCCCCCAAGAGTTTTCTTGTTTTCTAACCCCATGGACACTCATTTCAGCTTATTATTCCAGCTCTCGAAAGCATTTGCACAGTTCCTGCACGGAGCAGTCTCTTCTCTTTCATGTCCTCACCCTCTCCCATCTCCTGTGTTACTGTCTTTTTCTCTTCTTCCATTTCTGAGCCCCTTTCTAACTGACATCTAAATATGGACGTTGCTTAGGTGTGGTCTCTGCTGTAGCCATCCCTGGAACTGCAAACTCCAGACGGGTAATGTAAATGATGTAAAGGGAGTGTATTTTTGGATGCATAAAAATATTCTATAATTCATAAAGAAATATGTTCCATCTCATTTTTTCTTTGAACAAACGAAGTACCCAGGATTTGTCTTTCATTTCCCTTGTTTTGTGGATCCTCAGAAATATTTCTTTGTATTGGAAAAAATACCAGTGTACAAATAGGCGATAAGTGGAAGATGACAGTTGGCCTTGGTGTTGAAAAGGCATTAGGGTGAATCAGAATTCATGCCTCATACAAATGAGGAAGCTGCTATACAGTTAAAGCCAAGTGTTGCCAAATTATCTAGCTCTTTAAAGAGGAACTTGGAATATAGCTTTTAAAAAATGTGAATTCTACTAATTAAAAATTCTGGCACAAGTTTTTAAATATAACAAAAACATATCTATGGGTCAACAGATGGGCCCGTGGGCCACTAATTTATGTCTTCTAATCTCCATTCTTTCCCTGTGAGCTCATCTACTTGTATAGCTTTAAATATCATTGCTGTGCTGACAACTTTCAAAATTAGAATGCCAGCCTTTTCTATCCACCTGCTTACTTGACATCTCCCCTGGAATGCCTGACATTCATCTCAGACTTAACATTGTTCCTAAGAGAACTCTCGATTCTTCTTCCCAAACCTGTGTTAGCCTTAGCTTCCCCACCTTTAAGATTGAAATCAGGGATCTAGCCTCTTCCCTAAAGGCTGTCTGGCCCCACAGTGATATGATTGAAGGTCGTTTCTTCAGTGCCATACTGTA